AGCCCACCCTTATTGGGGCTCCAAGTGTTATATGAGAGCTATGGTGTGGAACTGTCGAGGTGTGGGGAGCCCCTTGACAGTTCCCCAACTGAGGGAGGTCATAAGACTCCACTCTCCATCTTTGGTTTTTTTGTCAGAAACAAAAAAGAAAAAAAGCTTCCTGAACAGTGTTAAGCAATGGATTAAGTTTGATAATGTGTTTGTGGTTGATCCAGTAGGACTGGCTGGGGGATTGGCTGTACTATGGAAACAGGAATTGAAGGTGAAAAAGGTGCTTTTTACCAGTTTCACTATAGAATTACTGATTGATGATTGGGAGATTGGTGCTGAGTGGTGGTGTATTTGTGTCTATGCGAGTACAAATGCTAGTGTTAGGAGGGAGCAGTGGAAGGTATTGGAAAGAAGAAGTTGCATTTGGGGGGAATCCTGGGCAATTCTGGGGGACTTGAATGATATCACTTCAAATGCTGAAAAGTGAGGAGGCAGGGAACGAGCTGATGTGAGTTTTCATGACTTTACTACTTTTATCAATGGTAATGAACTGGTAGATATTGGCTTTGAAGGTGTTCCTTGGACCTGGTGTAACAATTGGAAAAGTGAGGGGGAGGTGAAGGAAAGGATTGATAGGATTCTGGGAAATACAGGGTGGATTAGGAGGTTTGAGAAGGCAAAGTGCACTCACATAGAGACTGAGGCTTCTGATCACTGTATTCTGCTGCTAGATACTAAGCCTGAACGGAGAAGGTGGAAGAGGAGGTTCATGTTTGATAGGAGGTGGTTACAACACAGTGATATAGAAGAGGTTGTAGGAGGTGCTTGGGAGAGGCAGCAAGGGGGTTCAAGGATGTACATGGTTCAATCCAAGATTAGAAGAGTCAGAATGGATCTGCTTGGTTGGAGTAAGCAGAAGTGCGGTAATTCAAAAAGTCTGATTCTAAAGGTAAAGCAAGAAATCCAAGAGGTTAAGGAGAGTAGAGGTGATGGTTATAGAATTAAGTTAGCAGGTTTGAAAAGGAAGTTGGCAGAGGCTTATAAGCAGGAGGAGATATATTGGAGCCAAAAGGCTAGGGTGAAGTGGTTACAAGAAGGGGACAAAAATACGAGTTATTTCCATGCTAAGGTGGTGGGGAGGAGAAGGATGAATAGGATTAGTGTACTGAAAAATAGCAGTGGTGTGTGGTGCAAGGATGAAGAGGAAACTTGTCAGGAGATAGTTGAGTATTTTCAGCACATTTATACGTCTGAGAGGCCTGAGGAGTTTTCTGAGATCTTAGAGGGAATTCCACAGACCATCACTGATGAGATGAACATGAAGCTCACCAGGAAGGTCACAGAGCAGGAGATCAGTCAGGCAGTATTTTCGATGCATCCTAATAAGTCTCCTGGACCAGATGGTATGTCACCAGTTTTCTTTCAAAAGTTCTGGTCAATTTTAAAAGTTGATATCATCTGTGCTGTTAATAGCTTCTTTGATTCTGGTTTTATCCTAAAATCTATTAATGAGACCCTTATTAGTCTTATCCCCAAAATTGAATTACCTAGCACTATAGCAGATCTTAGACATATAAGTCTGTGTAATGTGCTGTACAAAATTATCTCTAAAGTAATTACCAATAGGTTCAAGCATGTCCTGAACTATTGTATTAGCTGTCCTCAGTCTGCTTTTGTTAATGGGAGGCAGATTTTGGATAATGTTCTTATAGCTCATGAGGTTATTCATTTTCTCAAAAATAAGAGGACAGGGAGAGATGGGTATATGGCGATCAAAATTGATATGGCTAAGGCCTATGATAGAGTCGAATGGAATTTTTTGGCCAAAGTCATGTTGAGAATGGGGTTCTGTCCGAAGTGGATTCAGTGGGTGATGCAGTGTGTTTCTAGTGTCACTTATGCAATAAATTTTAATGGGGAAAAGAGAGGTTTTATTAGGCCAACTAGAGGTTTGAGGCAGGGTGATCCTTTGTCCCCTTATCTCTTTTTGATATGTGCTGAAAGTTTTTCTTCTCTGTTAAAGCAATCAGTTGTTCAGGGGAAGCTGACTGGGATTAGGATTGCAAGGGAAGCTCCTAGGCTGTCTCATCTATTTTTTGCAGATGATGCGTTGATCTTCTGCAAAGCAACTGCTATGGAAGCTGGGCAGCTAAGGAGAATATTAGAGGTATACAGGGAGGCTTCGGGACAATTGATCAATATGGAGAAATCTTCTTTATTTTTTAGCAGGAATGTGGTGCATAGATATAAGGCAGGTGTATTGAGGGAACTACAAGGGATGAAGGAGGCACAACAAAGTAGGTACTTAGGGCTGCCTTTGGTTATTGGAAGGTCCAAAAGGCAGACCTTTGATTTTGTTAAACAGAAAACTTTAGGCAGGTTGGAAGGGTGGAAAGAGAAGCTTTTGAGCCAGGCTGGGAAGGAGGTGCTGCTCAAGTCAGTTATCATGGCATTACCTATCTATGTAATGTCATGTTGTATACTTCCAAAGGACCTGTGTAGGCAAATTAGTTCTGGGATGGCAAAGTTTTGGTGGGGTCAAAAGGAAAAGAAGCACAGAATCCACTGGTTGAGCTGGGGAAGGTTGGCTGATGGGAAGGAAGAAGGAGGTCTAGGATTTAGGGAGTTGCATGAGTTTAATTTGGCTTTGCTGGCAAAACAACTATGGAGGATTTTAACTAGGCCCAACTTGCTGATGAGTAAGGTTATGAGAGCAAGATACTTTAAGGGAATTTCAATATGGGCAATGAAGAGTCAGAGTACGGATTCTTGGTATTGAAGAAGTTTACTGAAAGCAAGGGAGTTACTGGAGGAGGGAATAAAGAAAAGGGTTGGGGATGGAAAATCAATTGATATTTGGAATGATAGGTGGTTGCCAAATTCTGGGAATGGGAAAGTAAAAACTCCAAGGGCTGAAGGGGTGGCTGTCCAGTGGCTGAGTGAACTCATTAAAGATGGGAAGTGGGATAGGGAGCTAATTGCAGAAGTTTTTGAAGAAAATGAAGGGAAGGACATAGTGAGGATACCTCTGAGTGTATGTAGTATGAAAGATAGGATATATTGGAGCAAGTCTAGTACGGGTGAATATACAGTAAAGTCAGGTTATAGGTTGGCAAAATGTATGAGGAAGGAAGTGGCTGGTGACAGGAGCATTGCTGAGTCAAGCAGCAGTAGGAAGTGTTCAGCTCAGAGCTGGTGTTTTTTGTGGGGAATGAATTTGAAGCAAAAGTTGAAGCACTTCATCTGGAAATGTTTACAAAATATCCTGCCAGTGAATGCAAGTATAAAGGCAAGGTGTGCTAAGGGGGATCATATGTGTGGTTGTTGTGGGGAGCATCCAGAGACTGTTGAACATCTGCTGTTTTTCTGTGATCATGCGAAGGCGATTTGGGAGATGGCACCAGTAAGCTGGGAGGGGTTGGTAATTCACAGAAATAAGTTCTGGCACTGGTGGGAGGAATTGAAAGATGCAGTGTATAAGGAGCAGGGACAGGAGCGGATTGCAGTGACAATAAATTTGTTATGGCAGATATGGAAGTCTAGGAATGCAAGGCAGTTTGAAGCTAAGGCTAGGGACCCTATGACAGTTGTCCAAAAAGCTGTTGGGGAATGGAGGGAGTATCAGGACGCTCAGGTGAAGGAGGGGGAACCAGTTAGTGGTAATAGGGTGGGGAAGGAGGAGTTGAGTGAATGGAAAGAACCTAGGGAGGCTTGGGTCAAGATAAATTCAGATGCTGCTGTCCATCAGAATAAGGATAAAGCAGGTTGGGGATTGGTTGCGAGGTCTTGGCAGAAGGAGCTGGTGGGAGTTTGGGCAGTGCCAGGTGTAAGTTGTTCGAATCCAAAAGTGGAGGAGGCTTTGGCTCTAAGAGCAGCCATGCTAGTAGCCAAATGTCAAGGGTGGAGAAGGGTAGAGTTTGAGACAAACTGTAAGCAAGTTATTGACAGGATAAATAGTGGTGAAAATGATGTAGAAATTGCAACGGTGCTCTCAGACATAGAAAAGCTGAAGCTCAGTTTTTATGAATGTTGTTTTTCCTTCACTAGAAGGAAAAGCAACTCTGTTAGTCATCAAGTAGCTAAATTTGCTACAAATTTGAAAGAAACTGCTGAATGGAAGTCTGACTTCCCAGTTTGGTTGCTTGAGTTGGTGCAAGCAGATTGTAGGGGCAGTTGCCCCAAAAATTGTAAGTTGAGTTAGTCTATAAATGAAATGTTGCTGTTTTGATAAAAAAAAAAAAAGGTGAGTGGAATTCAACCAGAGAATAATTGCTCATAATAACCACCAATAACCATGATAAACTCATGAGGACAGAAAGTTGCTTGTTTGTAATAGTCGTAACTCAAATGAGATGTTCGATTACTATTTCACTTAATTTTCTCTGGGAGAAAAATCAATAATTTGCTCTTGTTTAAATCCAAATCAATAATGTGCTCTAATTGCGTTAGTTTCATTAGATTCATTCCATAAATACTTTTATCAAGACTTGTGGACCTAAAACTTTTCGATAGAGTCTAACACCAATGAAGATCTACTTTTTGGCTCTTTTCCCAAGAGACTCTAAGTGTGTTGAGACAGAAGATTATCCAAAACATAAAATGCACGATAAAAAGATAATTGACAAAAATTTAAAGTAATTAAAAAAATATGTTAATAATATAATCATTAAAGTAGATATAATTTTGCAAATAATCTTGAACGCCTGATTATAACTAGTTCAATTGCCAAGGGTGTAGTCCCATGTAACACATAGAATAAGAACTATACAGGCATTTTCATGATGTTAGGACAGTTTTCTGCCGCCATTTGAATGAGAGGTTTTTTTTTTTTCGTTGCAACAATAACATTTTGGTTGGCTAATCTTTGCTTTCGGCATTTGATTTTCTGTTGCATGAGTTTATAGATGGCAATTTTGAAAATAGGTCTATCTAAGTTTTGACCGCATGTATACTTCTCCTACTCTGAACTAACTAAACGACATCGTGATGCGGGAAATAATTAGCAGTAATTGAAACTCTCACGAACAGAGTATTACTATAGATCGGATTGAACTACTGCGTCTGTACTTGACGCCAACTCTTTAATTCGCACTGGCAATAAATCCTCGAACGCCGAACGCCGGCCTCCGGCCGTCAGAAAGCCTTAACAATGTCATGGCTAGCTCGATCCATTGCCAACACTCTCAAACTCGACGAAACCGATGACCACGAGGGAAGCGCCGTCGTTTCCAATCTCAATGAACGCGACGCAGAACACGAAAAACAGCAGAATCAAAACCTCGATCCATCATCATCATCGCCGACTTCAACTCCACGTGGCGTCAAGGATGACATCTCCGAGCTCACCAAAACCCTAACCCGCCAATTTTGGGGCGTCGCCTCATTCCTCGCCCCGCCCCCTCAGTCCGAACCCTACAAGCCTCTCCAAGACTCAGAATCCACCACTCCCCGAGGAAAATCAATTTCCAGATCCGATCAGGATCAATTAGATTCCCAAGCCATTGGAATAACAGGAATCCGGAACGATTTCGCGGAGATTGGGGGAAAGTTTCGCAGTGGGATATCGATACTGTCGAACACCATAGCTGTGTCTGAGTTCACGAAAATGGCGTCTGATCTTCTGCAATTGGGATCGGATAATGAGGAAGAGGAAGGGGAAGGCAATAATGCTTTGTCGAGTGGCGGTGCTGTTGGGGTGACTAATGAAGTGGTATCTTTTGCAAGAGATATTGCAATGCATCCTGAAACTTGGCTGGATTTTCCACTACCTGAAAGTGACGATGATGATGGTAATTCCTGTTTGTACTACTCAAATTATTATTGTTACTATGTTTTTTGCCGTTTCGAACCTAATGTGTATATTTTGGACTGGGTCTCGTTGTCTACTTTTGCGTTGACTCTTGATGATTTTGGTGGGCTAGTTAGAGCTTTTAGTGTTGGACTAGGTTGATTTAACTTTAGCTGTGGAGAAGCACTTCGGCCAGTGGGCGGAGTGCAGATTGAGATGCAACGTAATTCTATAAGAGTGTGTGTTTTGGCGATCTGTTGTTCATCCTCCTGATGCATAGTACAATTTCTTTTTTGTGCTTAATAGAAAAACAGCTTTTGTTTAACCATTGTCAGCTTTAATTCTACTGAGTTTTTATGAGGACATTTCTGTTTCTCTAGACGAAAGGTGTATTTGATTGGAGAAAACATATCATTTTTTGGCATAAAATCGGGGATGCATAGAGGGCAACAATTTGGCACCAGATGTCCGGAGGCATGATTACTGCAACTGATCCTGGAAGGCTTCATTGAATATTTCATTTATTAGACTCAGCTCAAATTGGCAAGGACTCACTATTTATGTCAAATGCTGGTTGTTGGGTTTTCGTTAGAAGTGGCAACAGTTCTAACTTGTTGCCCCTGACTTCTCAGAAAAAAGAATTACTGATCAAGTTGGCAAAGCTGAAAAGTGCTGAAGAAATTAACATGGTGGTTATTAGCTGCCAGTGGTGTTGCCTTTTTCACCTTTTTCTTCTCCTAATCCCAAAAGTGTCATCTCTTTTCCAATTGAAAAAAGTCCCTTCTTATTCACTTTCCCTACTCCCTTCTTGTTTGCGTGTTTAATAAATTTATGTCGCATAAGAAAATTTTTTTGCCTAGCTTTTGATAAAAAAAAATTAACTCACTTCAAAGTCTGATTTCCTATATTTGTCTGTCGATTTATATTTCTTTAATTATTGGTTTGTTATTTCTGAGTCATAAGGTTTTGTAACATGCCATATTTGGCTGCATGGTAACTCTGACCATTACTGCATCAGTATAGCCTTTGTTCCATAATTTTGTGAATCCAGCTTATTATGATCATTATCTCTTCTAGATTTAGTACAGGAAAGATAAATATAGTGTGATCTCCATGGTGATCATTTGCTTGCTATGTGATGCTAGATTTTGACTTGTCTGATGCTCAGCAAGAACACGCTTTAGCTGTTGAACAACTTGCCCCAAGATTAGCTGCTTTGAGGATTGAACTTTGCCCAGGTTATATGAGTGAGAGTTGCTTTTGGAAGATATACTTTGTGCTTCTTCACCCTAGACTGGATAAGAAAGATGCGGAACTACTATCAACCCCCCAGGCAAGTTGGTTACATGACATGGTGATTCTATTTTATTTCAATGTAAAAGATAATACATTCTCAATGTTGTTGAGGAACCAATTTTCTTTAAACATTGTCCTTTTGTGTACGTTTATTGAGTTCAGACGTAATAGCCTATGATTTCCTGGAGCCAAGAAGGTGGTATTGGTTCTTGTTTGTGGTTATGTTGAATGTTGCAATACTTCTGTACGTTCCTGTTGTCTTCATTGATAAAATTGACAAAACATTTTAGCTGAAACTAATATTTCTGGGAGCCCGTTGACATGATCTGACCTTGAATGAGATAGCAATGGCAGTTGTTTTAACTGAATATTGCTTATCTGTTGTTTGTTTGAAGTTTTGAGTTTTTCTGTAAGAGTTGATGAGCTGCTCATGCAATCTTCATTTTGCTGTCTGGCATCGTACTTTAGCATTCAATATTCTCTATAAAACTAAACCAATTGCAACTGGGCTATATTTGTTAATTTCTTTTAGAGAGGAGAAAAGGGGCACAAGTTAGAGATGCCCTGTGTTTGTGTGATAGAGAATTTAATTGGTATGATATCTGAACAGTTCAGTTTCAAGTATAATTTAGGGAATCTTGTAAAGATAAAGAAAGACTGGACATTATGCCTTCTATTTTCAGTTTGGATGAGTTGGATGTTTACATAAGAATTCATGTGTTAGGTGGTCTTAGTCTTTTGTCTGCCCTCTTATGTTGTCCTTGCAGATAGTAAAAGCCAGGGCCTTGTTATCCCAGGGATTGAAGAACCGTTCCAAGGCAAAACAACAAGACTGGTCTGGGGAGGGCAGTATTGATGTTCAAGATAGTTCCAACCATCAACCCGAAGAACCCCTATTAGTACCTATCAAAACTGAGTATGATAATGTTCCCAAAACATCTTTTACTGAATCTGTAACTTCCACTGCTGCCATCGAACATGAGATAGAGAAGCACCCTGTCATGAGTGCTGAAATTGCTATCGTTGACAAATCGGTGATTGAAGAAAAATATGTTGACCAGACTAAGGATCAAAGTATACTTTTTGATTCAAGTAATGTATTGGTAGAGAAAGATGAGGATGATGCTGATGATTGGTTGAAGGAAGAAAGCTCTGGAGCTGGTGCAGGTGGAGCTACAATTCCCATTGAGAATGATGAGGATGTGTCATTTAGTGATCTTGAAGAGGATGATATGGATGTGCCTGCTAGCTTTAAGAAAACAAGTCACAGTCCGGACAAAGATGCACGAGATTGGGTTCAACTGAGAAAAAGCTCTTCTGACTTGTCTAATAGTACGCAATCCGGGGCCATTGAAACTGCTGGATCTAAGAAGGTAATTCCCAAGAACCCTGAGTCGAAGGAATCCAGTGATTGGCTTGATGTTGATGACATTGATGTGGCGTGATCTTTTATATAATCAGTCAACTGTGTGTGTACAAAACATGGTATCTCTACATTCTACGGGCTTGTGAATAGTGTACTGTTAATTTATTTGGTGCACCTTAAGTCTTGTTAAATTGTATGCTGTAAATATACTCCTTGAATGAGCAATAACTAAACATCAGGGCAATTGATCTGATAAACTTAAGCAGATCAATAACTCAATGGTAAATGAGCAATTATGTTGATGTGTTTTCCAATTCATGTAGATGGACAACAAAGAACCAATTATTGAGTAGTCGAGATGCGTAGTAAAGTGGAGCAATCTTACGCCCTTGGACGTGTGACACTGTAGCCTGTTGGTTGTTGTCCAGTCTGTTGTCCTTTTCCTCATCTCGTGTAAGCGTTTGGGCCCATTTACCGAACCAAGCGTTTGGCTATTCGTGGACTTATGAAAGGGTTTGAGTTCCACAGCATCATTTCCTTGTGAAGGTGTCAACTGACATGATTTTCGAAACTAAGTTTTGATACTGAATTGGTCCTCTTGGCAGTATTTAGAACACATTCTGACACTATGACATCAGGGGAGGAAAACTGGCAAATCTTGTAATTTAGGCCATAAGGGAGCTGCGGCGAGAGAGAGAGGAGATGAAGCGGTAATATATACCAATTTACACAAATGCACTATTAGCATGACCTGTACTACCAATTTTCACAAATGGACTATATTTGCCAGAAGCTAGTGCACCTAGAGATGCTAATTATTCACAGAAGAAGAGCTAACATACATCAAGTGCTAAGTTGGTCCTTTATAAAGGACTAGGATTTTATGGGCCTGAAATTGCTTGAGAGCCGCTCAAGGTGCGACCAAAACAAGCTTCCCAACGACAACTTCGGCCTGTCTTCTGTGCCAGCGCTGTTGCGGCCGCTGGTGGAAGATGATGATGTGGCTCGGGATCGAAGACCTAACGGCTTATCGACGACCAGTACGGTACCACCCCCTATTTCTCGCTGTACCATCTCCAGCGTCTCTCTGCTTATGTTATCCCCCGAGGCGTCTTTAACGTAAAACGTCCCAACAGCTCTGTCCCCGTTTGTTCCAATCTCGGCTCTTGCTATTGATAGCCCATTCTCTCGAAACACTCTCGTAACATCAGACAACAATCCTATCCTGTTTTCAGTGGTCACATCCACCCTTATTCCCTGCACAGAATTTCGTTAAAGACGTTTTTAAGCGTTATTTCCCTTTCCAGCCTCGGAGCCCGCAACCTCCATCTTGAAATTAAAATGATGGTTTTCTATACTTACGTGAGAAACTCTCCTTTCTGTAGCTGCAATGAGGCACCGAGTCACTCTTCGCCTCTCCACTTCCAAGTCCAGGGTGCATCCATCCTTGTGCCTAATGTAATATTCCTGAAATTAAAGCACAGGATTAGAATTTGAACCACCATAGCAGATGCACGTTTTCTTTGTCATGGAAAAAGCCAGTGAACCATGTAGTTAAAAGGATAAACTCGCACGCATAGTTAAGCCAAGACAAGACGCATTACCTGCACTGCTTTTGATCCTTTGGAGCTAATCGCTGCATGGAAGACAACATACTGCATATCCGTCAGAGCACATACTGTGTCAAAGAGCAACTTCGGTCGATCTTCACTCCTCACAGTAACTATAGAGTACCCCTTCTCGGTACAATTCTCTATTTTAACGCGTGTAGTAGCTTCACGTTCTTTCCTCCTCTGCCAATCAAACTTTCCGCTTGAATTCATTTCTTCATCTTTGCCATCATCATCCTGGACAGAACAAGAACAGCATGCCTCATAGTCTCTATCAGCTGCCATCAGCTGGTGGAGCCGCCTTTCCGTGTGTGTTTTTCCGCCTACAGGGCATGCCAACCTCACACTCCTTTTCTCACCGTCGCAGTGGTGAGCCTCGACTACATTTTCTAGTTGAGCCTGCACACGTGCCAGCCGGCAGGGATCCGTAATCGGCCCGCCATTGCACTCATCTGCCACACAGATGATGCATGCAGCACGGGCGTTATGAGTCCATGCTACAGCAGCCGAAACATGGCATCCCATTTCAGCCAACACGGCAGACATCTCCGACATTAGACCCGGTCTATCTGTGCCAGTCATCTCAAGGGCTGTATGCTCTGCTGAGATGTATGCTGGCCTCACATTCTTGCTAATAGATGGTTGGACCTCCCTGGAACTCTCCCTACTTGTGCTGATTGCCTAAAAGTAAAATTTGAAATTTTGTGCAATTTATTTAGAGCATGCAAAAAATACAAAATAAAATTAAAATTCCTCATGTATACGGTAACATATGATATAAGCAATCCTCGTAAAATACAGAGGGAAAGAAGAGCACTAAAAATACTAAGCAATTCCCGTAAAATGCAAAGGGAGAGAGTATTAAGTATTAACCTGTTGAATATAATGGATGAGGCTTTCATCAGTAATTTTGTTCCCCAGTTGGTCTGTCACGTGAAATACTGCGAAACATGAATTTAAAATATGAGTGTGAAGTTAAAGTAAGGTAATCGTGTATAACTCACGTAGGGATCAAAAAGGTTCATTTTCATATGTCTGGCGAGTTGCAACCAATAATTAATTCACTCGCTATACAACATAACCATTTAGAATTTTCTCATTGGTGCTAAGAGTCGAGAACAGTGTATGATGCAAAGAAGGCGAGACCAACCGTCCATTAACCAGCCACCATCAGAACAAATGTATGATTTGGAAATGACGAGGTCCAGATCCGTCAGAACTTGGACCATTTCCAGTAGGATCCCATGCTTGTTTGCGCTATCAACCTTTGAACGGAAAGGCAAAAGACGACGAAAAATTAAATAATATGCAGTACAAAAAAAAAAAATATTTTGTGCATTTACACATGTAAAGGTTTTCTTTACAGTCAGAGGCCACCATTGTTACTTCCTTTCTGTGTCGTGCTTATGCCTTTTGATTGTGGAAGAACTAAAAGACCATTGAGTAGATATAGCCCTTGAAAATAATTCATGTCATTTTCCCCTTAAGTTGCCTTGAATTAAACATATATTACTATTCTTTATTGACTTAATGGCCCAAATACAACACATTGAGACTTCAGCCGGAATCATCTTGAGAGGAGAAGCTTCATATAGATCTCTATCTGAGATGGGTTTCCAGTGTGCTCGGTGGGTCACAGACTGACTTCAGCCAAACCACTTGCATTGTCTGAGAGATCAGGAACCTAGGATTGGTGATGCCCAATGAAGGACTCGGGAAAATAATGGTAACTGAAAGTTCTGACTTTTTTGATACATCACTAAGTGACTACTGACTAATGAATGTTGAGGGTTTTCAAAACAACAAAAAGCACTGGAATAACTAACGAGTCCACCTGTTTCAATGTAATCAGGCAGGCAGATGTTGGCAGTGGTATGGTATCTTGATACCCTTTTCAAGGTTGGTTTCACATCTATGCTGGAATCTATTAGCCCGTCCCCACCGTTTCAACTTAGAAATTCTAGCTGAATAATTTAGTCAAGGAAACCATTGGTATCATCCCTTAAAGAAAGACCTGACTAAGCAATAACTTTGGTCTAACAAAGGTCGCCAAACAACTAATAAAGATTCCTACTTTCTAAAAATTCTTGTTCTTAGTTACTAACCTTCACAAGGGTGCAATCTGGGCAGGTATCATTGTCTATGGAAACCCTGCAGAAAGCTCAAGAAGAAGAAGCTGGTATAAGGGTCAAGCAAACAGAGTTAACCCGCAAAAACTGATTTTGAATCACCGAAATTGGACGATTATGTGTGTGTCTATATATATATTCGGACGAAGTGATGCAAGAAAAAACCTTGGAGGATGCATTCTTTCAATTAGAGATACGATATCCGGATCAACATAAGGCCTATAAATGATCTCCATCTCCTGTCTTAATGATCTCCGAGATTATGCTTCACCTGAACCTGAAATAGTCAACTAAACCAAATAAATGTCCAACAAAGTTGACATGCAAATCTCCTTTGAATTAATTCAGATTTTAAGCGCGTGCCAGTTCAGAAAATTGAGTAAGGAAGCGGCGTATATTCTTGTTTTTCACATTAATCCAAAAAAAAAACAACAACAAAACAGAAAATATTGAGATAGGCTTCCTTGTTTTTCACTAAGATAATCAATCAAATACAAACAAATGTTTTAAACTGCAAGAAGATGAATCAAAAGATACTCTAAGTCCCGACCTCATTTAAAAGAAAATTTTAACAGAAAGAAAAATAAAAGAAAAAAGGAAGAATCCGAAACTGAAGGGAGGACTCATCAGATCAGAAAAGACAGAGGCACGAAGGAGAACTGGAATTTGGTGCTTAAATAGGAAGCTTTATTTGGGCAAGCGTTTGTCTAAGAGAATCTAACATGGGAGCTTCTTTGAGTAAATGGTTTTCTTTGCATAATGCACCAGAGAAAAGATAGAGAGTATGGTTTAGTTATAAGATCCTGGGATTACCCGAGGACTAGAAATTTAGATTTTAAAAGTCAAAACCTGGGAGGCCCTTAACTCCAGGTGACTTGTTCTCCTTCCTTGAGGGAGAGGGAGAGGGAGAGGGAGAGGGGAGGGAGGGTGCAGGGGAGAGAAAACTGCAGCAGAAGAGCAACATTAGCGATACCCGCGAACTGTACATGTATCTGCCTAAGAATTCTATATAAGCTCCAACTGGCCTCCTATCCTCTCCCATTAGCTAAACGGATTTTTCCGGGCCGAACATAGATTCTCCTTTTCTAGTTACTAGTGATAAGGGCAAACTAAAGTTATGTCCAATTTAGCAACAACCACCTTTTATATAGAAGAGTTTAATTTTGACAAAAAAAAAAGTATAGAAGAAATTAGTATAAAATTTTTATTAAAAAATACTCTCTCAAATTTATAAAAAATTTTTGAATAGAATTTTAATTAACTTAGTGATTACAATATTTATCAGTGATTATGGGCGAAAATTAGTTCTGATTGCATTGATAGGCAATATGGGCAAGATGCAATCAAATGATAAAGGCATAATTTAGCGATTACGAGAGTAAATTTGGAAATCCAAAGGCGAAAAAAAATTACCCCAAAGCCACTACACTCCCTTCATATATAACAGTATAGATGATTTTACTCAAAATTCAAATTAAATACATTTAGTAGAAGTTAAAAAATAAGGCTCCAGCTTCTTGTTTAGATTCAAACTTGATAAGGAGCTAAATATTAAAACAA